TTTTAATAACTGCTTTTTAAATGTGATTCTGCTATCCAAAATCTAAGCACAACCTTTGGCTGCTTTTTGCTTCAGTTAACATCTGTATTAGAAATTATATGCAATGATTATGATATTTCACAACGATTGCAATTTATGTATAGTTTATGAAACTAAAAAGGCCTACAGAACTGGGTAATTCTAACTTAAGTAAGTCAGTAAGAATGGGAATGGTATGACTTTTAATATTCTGTATCAGATAGCCATAAGTGAATATATTTTATGGTGGGAAGTAAAACAGAAAGATGCTGCCTAATGGTTATAGTTATTGTAAACATTCTCATCTTTCCCTTCCATAAAATAAAACAAAATAAAATAGCCATAAAATGCTTTGGAAGGCTATATAACCCAGAAGTGCAGAGTGGGACTGAGAAACCTGCTCCCATATTTTCCCCATTTTAAATATAAGAATAAGAGGGAAAAAAAAATCAGAACACTTGCTTGTCTTTAGTATCAGTCAAAACTTTAAAATAATTAAGTAATCAGTTTGCAGAGTTTGCACAGAGTGTGGCTTTTGAGCAACCTACTAAATTAACTATTTGGTTCTGTTTAACTACTAAAAGTTTTATTTATTTCCCGTATACTGCATGCAAATACTAAAAGCATCCTTGAATAGCAATGCATGTACCAACCACCTAAGAATCATAGCAGTACTTGTCAAATCCATGCATTTAAAAATCATGAGCTACTCCCCTGCTAAAACACCTAAGAACAGTAAAGTTGTTAAAATAACTTTATAGTTGGGGGTGAGTTGCTTTTGAAGCATCCAGTGGTCACATTTTCAGACTTTTTCTATAAACATAAAAGGTAGCAAATTTTAAGTGAAAGATGAGGTTCTCCAACAGTAACCTGGTTTTAAACAGTGAGGGCTTTAACTGAAAAGAAACCTATCACCCATCACTCAGAAGGGATCCGTGCTAAAACTGCAAAGAGCTGGCAATACGACAACAAAGCCCATTTCCTCTAGCCCCAACCCAAATAAGTATTCACAATTAAACAGGGATTTGTGGAGTAAATAAATCCTGCAGGGCTGGGCCGAAAAACACTTCTTACTCTTCAGAGTTTTGCTGTGCATAACTATCTTCTCTGTTTTCTTCTGTGAAAATATCTTTTACTTCTGTGCTTTTTATTTCTGTGTGTGAAGATGATTCACCTTCTGGCTTCCCTTCACCCTCACAAGCCTCTGTATCTCCTGTGACCTCTACAGTGCTAATCTCGCCCTGCTCCGGCACGGAAGAAACTGGCATGTCTAGCAGTCCTGTTCTTGGGTTTTCTGTATCCAAAATGGGCACTTGCGTTGTGTCTGCATTTTCAGCAGGATTATGAAAAAAGCTCTCAGTCCCTACCTCCACTGGGACGGCATGGCTATTCCCTGCTACTCCTTCCTCCCCATCTAATATTTTGCCTTCAGACACATTTTCAGTGTGTTCCTCTGGCTGCAGTCTATCACTTTGGCACCTTCCCACACCTGTATACCAAACGCTTTGCTTGATATCCACCTCTGCCTTTGCCTCCTGAGGTGTATCTGAGCTTTCCACCAGCCATTCTGCTTTTGCCATACCACAGGCCCCCTTGGACACATTCTCTAAATTCGTACCATCTGTCCCCAGACTAGATGAAGATGGTCGGTCCTCCTTGAACTCCGTGCATTCTGCTGCATCTTTATTCATCATTGTCTGGCTCACTTGAATTTCTGCCACAGCCATTTTACTCAACTCATCATTCCCTTTATTGTGCTCCTGCAACTTTAATCTCTCACCTTCACAAATCTCCTTTATGTTCTCAGCTGGAGTATCTGCTGGTATCTCAACTGTTACCATCAGCAAACTCCTTATCTCATTCACATCGTCAGGGGATTTACAACTCTTTTCTTCTGACTTGCTTTCTGTTTCAGGATTACCCCCAAACCCGCCATTCCCTGTGTTTTCTTCCTGGGAAATAACCCTTGTCTCAGTACTCGCTCCTTGGTCATTGCTTTCTTTTTTACTAGCCTCTTCAGACCCTTTTCCTACTGCATTTTCACTCTGAGATAATTCTTTTTCTACCTTGATTTTCTTTTCTGCATTCCCTAAAATCTCTGCTTCTGCTACATTATCATGTGGGGAAGTCAGCTTTATCTCAGCAACTTCTTCCTGTGCTTTGCTTTCTTTTTCAGTGCCACTGACAAACGCAGCATCCGTTGCCAGTTGACTCTCAGAAGTTACCTTTTCCTCCACTGCTCCTTCATGTACCTTAAGTTCTTTTTTAGCGCTGGCTCCAAAATCTTTCACTGCAGTTTCAGTTCCAGGAGCTACTTCTTCCTCCACAGCTTCTTGTTGTGTCTTAAGCTCTTTCTCAGTGTTCGCTACACACTCAGCTTTCACCGTGTCTTCATTCTCCAAAACGATTTTTTCCTCTGCAACTTCTTGTTCTGTAAGGGTAGCTGGAAGGGATTCCTGTATTTCACCGATGTCTGTAACGACCATTTCTTCACTTTTGCTTGCCTGATCACCAGCCGTATTAACAGAAGTGACTGCCTCTTTGTCTGATGACTTTCTATTGTCAGCATCCTTCTCCCAAGAAATTTTTTCCGTCACAATGAGCATTTCGTCACTTTGAGTTTCAGTGTCTGACGTCTCGGCTCGGGCGGTGGAAGGCTTCTTCGCAGGAGTGGTTTGTGCTGATCCTGAAGGGGTCTTCAGGTCCGTTAAGCTGGACACGCTTTCACAGGGCAAATTCAAGTTATCTTCAAAGAGGTTGTGCTTCTTCATAATGGCAGCTTCTTTTATCACTAAATAAAACAAAGATCAAACTGTTTTGGAAAGACTGACAGAGGTACCTTGAAAGAGGTACACCGTTTTCCTGAGTTTCTAATGTCATACATTTTGATATTACAGACAACAGTAATTTTCATTTTCAGGTTGCTTTTTTAGTTTACATTTCTCTGAGGGGGGTGGACTTTATCTGTTCTGAATAATGGAACTTCAATATTGACCTAAGCATTGCTGTAATAGAAAACTACCAGAGGACCCGCAATGCACAAAGGTAATGTTTCAATGCAGAAGTATTTACACTGAATATATGAATAAATGTGTGCTCGTTACATTAATTATTAGACTGATATTTTTGAACAGGAGTGCCAAAGAGGAGCTATTAAAACTTACTGTGCAATGCAGAAGCTTGTCTTTTATCTAGGATATAGACAGACAGACAGATCCAGAGAGATAAAAGTATTTTATATATCTACATATGCTATCAAGAATAGTTTCGTTTTCTGACACAAAAGCAGAGGGATTTGCAGGGAGTACTGCACTGGCATCAGTGACGTACTGGAAACTACATCCAGCAGTACATTTCATTTGGGGAAATTAATTTTCGCTGCCATTAGGTATCACCGAGTCTATGCAAACAAGAGCATAATTTCACTCCTTGGCCCACGGAATCAAGATAAAATGAAGTTGGCATAATTACATTTTGTTAGAAATAGGCTTGTGCCAAGCTATCACTTGGAGTTTTCCAGGTTTAGTAAAGTTGCCTCATAATTCAGATTTTAGGGCTTGCCACACATCTTTAGTGAGCTGAATCCAAACACTGTAGCATTGTAACCACCAGTCTTCAGGACAGTGGGACCTGGGTCTGAAACAGCCAGATTAGGACTCTGGGAAGCTCTGAAGCAAGAGCTCACCAGCCAACAGCCGAAATGTTATTACTGTCACCTCAAGAATGTTCTCACCTTTCAGGGTTTCTTCAAGCAGTGTCTGATATAAAATCTCTTCATACACATTCTCTACTTGGATCACGCTAGTGTAATCAGCAAAAATGAACTGCTCGTATTTCTGCAGCTCCTGTGCAGACACAAAGAAAGAAACAGATATATAAAAACGAGAGATTCTGAGAGTCCTACTTCAACAGAGCACCTTGGAGATGCCATCTAGCGGGTCTTGCAATGCTCCTTGCTGGCTCTTGAGGTGAACTATTTGAACTATGACTAAAGGAAGTATGTATGTTCACAATTTATTATGCACTTCTCAAACAGTATTCTTGCACTACAATTACATTTAAAAGCACTATAGATGATTGCCATCTGCACTATAATAAACAATTCTGAAGTAAATAGCTGGTGAGGAAATGCCTCACTCACTGTCCAAGGAGGCAAATCCATGGTGAGCATGGGAGCTACAGGGTTTCATTTTGTTTTTCTAATAGGAGTGTAACATTTTTAGCTTACTGATTTATACGCAATAGGCTGTCTAGACAATAACTGAGTCATTATCACTAAGCAGCTGCTTGGTGGTCTATAAAAAGTAAATTAAGTGACCTCTGCCTGCTTCTAGAAGCCTTGTAGAATGCCTACATACAAACATCTGGAGATTTTCAAGTAAAAGGTCAAGACTTGGCTGGGCATATCAATTGTGCCACACATTTGCTTCCAGTGCTGGCTGCTCATTTCTGCAGAGGCACAAACACAAAAGGCTTGTGGGGAATTAAACAGAAAGGGCTTGCGGGAAGTTTGCACCACCACCGCTTCCTCCGTCCTGTATGACAGAGACACGATGCGGGACTCCACCCTCTCTACATATATTCAAGGTGATGAAATGCTTGCCCCTGTGCGTAGACACCATGTCTTGAAGGCACTGCTGACACTCTACAAGACACTATTATTTTTGGGGATAGTAAAGAAAGTAGAGTGACATACAGAAGAGGGTGATTTTAAATATATTTTTAAAAGTTGTAAGTTTTAATAATCCATACTCAAAGACTTGCAAGCATAACTTGGCAAAACACTTGGTTTTAAGCTTGTTTTTGAAACTGAAACAAGCTGCAGAGCATCAGCAAGAGCAGCACACCGTGGGTGAGAGCTTACAGCCTCCAGGAACTGATGAACATCAAGGGAAACAAAAGAGCAGAGAGGCCGGTCTGGCTTAGGGCAGTCATCTTTCAGCAGGTACAGTGAAAATGCAAAAGGATACGCATGGGCTTCAAGAAGGGTACAGACTATTTATTTTGAGCCAAGCTGAACAGCATTCCAACTGGCCCCTGATGTAGCCACACTGATAAAACCCCCATAAAACTCTGGTAGCTGCATTTGCTGAGTACTAATCTACCTGTATGATTAAGGGCAACAGAGATCATCTGTGTATGTTTGTTTCCTGATTGTTGACGCAATTATTACTTCCATTTAAAATCACTGAAAGCAAGCGCATGGCCTGTCTGCTTGCTGCTCCTGCTGCCCAAGCAGGCATGTGGCTTTGAAGGAGGTCATCAGCAGTTTGCACGTGGCTCAGGGTGCTGCTGAAGAGGAAAGTGCCCTCTCCCACGGACTGAATTTCAGCCTGCAGCAGGGCTGCTGAACACAAGGACAAGCTCATAACCTACAATTGTAGCTGTCAAGAGGAGTCCAGTTTGAGAGGACTTCAGATCTCTAGGGAAGAAATGAAATGGGGATGGGCAAAGGTCTGCAACTATCTTTGAGAAAGCAAGCTGTATATACAGTTTCTCTGTTTCCTGAAATTTTCCCTATGCTCCACATCTACCCAATCCATGAACTGGCAAATCAAAGCGTCATTTGGCCGAGCAGGCAGCCAATCTGCATGGCTCCCCAAGAGAAAACAGCTTTACAGAGTTGAGGATTTACTGCCAAGGTGTTAATCCTTCCCTGCCTTTTATTATTGTTTTTTCTAAATCACAGAAACCTACTGGTTTGCACGTTGAAGCCAGTGTCTTCTGCATTGTGGGCAAAGTAATCTGTACCAGTGCTTCTTGAAATATCTTCTTCCGGATAGTGCTGCTGTCATAATCATATTGCTGTCAAAACAGACAAAAAGAGAAACAAGCCCAAACATGTTTGGGGTTATTAATCACTCATAGGAGGAACTGGTTCTTGTTAACCTGTAACTGGTGACGGGTGAATCCCAAAGGATACCACATCACGGGTGCACTCAGGGGTTTGAATTCCCATGCAGGTTATTTCAGCTTTTACAAAAATTCCCGACAATCTGGTTTTCTGGGATCTCTTTCCCTTCATTTTTTTCTGCCTAGGCAAGAAACAGCCCCCTGATTGCTCTCTCCAGATATTTCAGCACTGCCTCTTCTGAGAGTAACGAATTCTAGGGGCAGGCTAATTAAAAAGCTAATAAAAAATGATCTACCCAGATCCACAGCATCATCTCCAGCTGATTTAATTGCAGTTAAAAGGACTGCACATGTAAATACTTTTACAGGTGTCTGCCCAGAACTAGGTTTTACCCCCAAAATGAGCAGCTTTGTTAAGTGCCACCAAATCAGTATTGCCAGCTGGATGGTAAGAGATATCTTCTTTCAAATACTGAGATAAATTCACATAAAATATATTCTCAGTGTCCGAAAAGGCAGAACCCAAGGTCTTCCTGTGCAAATGCTGCAACATTACATTTACCTTCAGTACTCTCAGCTTGACTTTTTCAATGGTAGTTGCAACTTTCGCTGAGTCTGCCTGGCGACTTGGAGAGAACAACTGCTCGAAAGTATAAACTGCGTTTTCCATCAGCTAAAAATAGTAATTAAAAAAATCTGTTAAAGACCAGTACATAAAATTCCTACATGCGTAAAGAAGCATGATAAATGTAACCATTAACTTAAATTGTATTTTTGAGAAGGTGAAACGGAGAAAGAATAATGGGCCTAAAATCAATACATATTTCAATTACTTTAAATGATTGTGGAAGGGGAAGAAAAGCACTGTTTAGTTCAGATTGCAACACTCAGTTTTGGAATGAGAAGCCAAAAAGAAGATTACCTAATGCAAGAGAATAAGAAAATGAAACTACCTCAAATTCTATCTTGACTTTACAGCCAGGTCAATACTAGGAAGTCTGCTAATGTAACTAAACAAACAGTTATATCAGCAAACTTAGTTAGAGTAGATTCATTTATGTTGTCCAAAAATTTTCTGCTGTATTTCAGTTCTCTGAAGGCTAACATGCACAGAAATGTTGCAATAAATAAAGTTAAGCCTTGGTATTATTATTATGTTATCATAATCTCATATGTCACCATATTTAATCTCATGTCACCATCCAAGTAACTAAACAAACAGTTATATCAGCAAACTTAGTTAGAGTAGATTCATTTATGTTGTCCAAAAATTTTCTGCTGTATTTCAGTTCTCTGAAGGCTAACATGCACAGAAATGTTGCAATAAATAAAGTTAAGCCTTGGTATTATTATTATGTTATCATAATCTCATATGTCACCATATTTAATCTCATGTCACCATCCAAACTGATGGTGACAAAGACAAAAAGCAGAATCGATCATCTATATATAAAGGCCATAGACAAAACTCATTATCCCTAACACGAAGACTCCCATTGACTCCCACCAGATTCTAATGGTCTTAATCATTAATACTGCAGATAATTTTTTAAAAAAGTAATTAATCAGTAGCTTTCCTTATAATACAAATAATTATCAGCAAAAATCGCACAAAGTGCAATAATTTCTCACAGAATTATGTTAGGCTGGCATTTGCCATATTTTCAGGTTATCCAGAGATTCATTAGAAATATTAAACACCCTACTCTGAAAAGATATTTCAGAAAAACAGTTCTGCAAACAGTTATTATGTCTACTTAATGAGGTTTTGCCTTTTTTAGCTAAGTGTTTCCACTCAAATTTTACTATGTTCTTATTGCAGAAGTACAGGGACATCCACAAGGAAGCTGTCCATACTGCTAGATCTTCCTTTGTATCACATGAGACCATCCCAGTCGATATACATAGACAGTCATATACTATAGAGGACTTCTTGTAGTTTGTAAATGAGTATGTACATACTTATAGATAAGACATGCTTTTAATTCCTCCTTGGTTAGTAGTATTTTCATGAATGAAAATATGCAGTGACAAATGTTGAAGGCCAATTCTTATAACTGACTTTGCAGATCATGTAGGATTGGACTATACAGACTGTATTTATAAATGGGAATGGAGAAGATGGAGGTTTACTCAATTTGTGCATGCATCAGAAGGCTGTACAGTAAAGGCTCATGCACTGCAAGACCTTGGATACAAGAAAAAGACAGGATCAGTATAGAGTTAAGTCTGAGGCTAATTAAAAGATGAACTACTCACTTTTTATTTCAATTTCTATTTGAAGCAAATCATAAATTGGCGTAGTTCTGGTGAAGTCACTAAAGCTGCTTTATTTATTCCAGTTGAGCATTGTACTCCCAAATTTCCTAAAACTGGCCACTAGAGGATGCCAAGCTCCCAAGCCAAGGAATCCTGCTCCAGCATCCACCGGAGTTAGAGTTAAGCCAAATGCTTCTTTTACGTTAAGACGACACAAGCACAGACATGTCTGACCTTGCTCGTTAATAAAATAAATGTCCATGGACACAAAGTGAAATGACTTACTATTTTTATGAGAAAAATACCAGCATTTTAAAGAGAGAGAAGCAATAACAGCATTTTTAGAACAACTTGTACTTTAATTTATTTATTGTGAATTTTGACTCATGTTCTGTTCAGAAAAAAAAAACCCACTTGGTTTGTATGGGATATATTTTCTGTCTACTTCTTTGTCTTGACTCATGGTCTTCACTTACTGAAAGACATTTTATTTGGCAGCATTTTGGAATGGTCCCCCCTGAAAGACCCAGACACGGTCGCCCACAACATCCTTCTCTCTAAACTGGAGAGGTATGGATTTGATGGGTGGACTGTCCGGCGGGTGAGGAATTGGTTAGATGGTCGCATTCAGAGGGTAGTGGTCAACGGCTCAATGTCCAGATGGAGACTGGTGACGAGTGGCATCCCGCAGGGGTCTGTATTGGGACCGGTACTGTTTAATATCTTCATCAATGACATAGACAGTGGGATCGAATGCACTCTCAGCAAGTTTGCAGACGACACCAAGCTGAGTGGTGCGGTCGACACGTCAGAGGGACGG